CGTTCGAAATTGTTTCAACCCCCGGAGGAAAAGTCTGCAGAAGAGCTGGCAAAGATGGCTGAGATTGATATGCGATGCCTATCCCTCTGCACAGCAATGCTAGAAAGAGTCATGAGTGTAAGTGGAAAGGGCTTGTCCAAACCCTGTTGAACGAAGAAATAACAGACATTCGATGAAAACTCGACTTTGGACGGAATTCTGGCCGAATTAATCATTCCAGCCGTGAAGAGCAAAGATCCTACGATGAGAGAACGGGGAATGATAACTTTAGGGCTTTGTTGCTTGATTCACAGAGTACGATCGTTCTGACCTTTGCCCCTCCAAGTCACTGATTCAAGTCATGAGCAGAAGATGGCCATCAATTCTTTCAGTCTTTTCTTGCATCAAGTTGAAAAGGCATCTTCAAATCTGAAACTCAAAGCGCTACAGATCGTGTTTGATCTCTTGACCATGTACGAGCGGGATTTCCTTATGGCACCTGGAAATGAAGAAGTAAGCAAAAAATCATGTGTGGACCCTAATATTAACACCTTTCAGCAAAATACCCTGGACCAGGTCACAGATTTCCTGCTCAATGTCCTCGGAAACGCAGACGGCGATTCTATCCAAGCTACTGCGGCTCTAGGCTTATCAAAGCTCATGATAACGGGCGTTCTGCAGCAGGATCGGGTAAGTATACTTAATTCCTGGCAATGGATCGCGCCGTTGAACGCACTAAGGTGTTGCAAAGTCTCGTTATGGTTTACTTCTCTCCAGAGACTCTAGGGAACCAACAACTCCGGCAATGCCTCTCTATAGCACTTCCCATCTATGCATATTCAACCTCCTCCAATCAACAACGCCTGCAAAGAGTAATCTCCTCTAATCCAGTGTCTGATCGCAGCTGACATTAATCACAGGTTATCATCCCTTCTATACAAATCCTGGATGAAGTATATCATGAACTGGAAGGGGAACAGGAAATGATCACACCACTTCAGATCCTAGGGACGCTGGTCGATTGGACCGATGCGAGGAAGGTCTTGTACGTAGGAACCAAGCTTTTGTGCACGAAACCAGGGTAGCTAACGACACGCAGTCAAGCAGAGGCCGCCCTTGAACATCAAGTTTATGAAGACGTCCACATGGATTTGGTTATTGAGATGTTAACCAAAGCTTTCGAAGCGGATGATGGTAAGGGTATTTCAGGATACAGACTTCGTACTCAGCGGGTCCGTATAGGTTTGCGTAAACTATACTTCCAAATTCTTAACAGGCTCTACTTACCGGATGAGACCGATGAAAATAAGTTGCGCAAAGTGAAATATTTGCTCTCGAGTTATAAGATTGTACGTACATCTCATTACGGTTCTGATCTTTTCCTTGACACCAACTCATGACCCTTAGAATCGTGTCTTTCCGGATGCAAGCAGCAAGACTTCGTTTGAGCGCTTCCCGACCACGGCAATTTCGTGAATGAAGAGGCATAGTCGCCCTCTTCGCGTCTTTTCAGTCACTTTCGAAATCATTTATGAACACAAATAACAGCTAAATAGTACCACAACACGTAGTTAATGACATTGTGCGGTATCTAAGCTGATCTTCTACATCGAGTCGACTTGCGGAATGTAAATCTAGGTACATATTATTCACAAGGATTGTTTTTCTTTACACCTCGATATGACTCCATTATCGTTACATTGGCATTTACCTTGATTTACAAAAAATACAGCACGAACTTGTCGACTGAATGATAGCTACGGTGTTCCAAAACCGGCAGGTCAAAACTTTCGACCAGAGCATTAAGTCGAATATGGTATAAATAAGTCCTCCTGAGTTAGCAAAGACAGAACCGAGCTTTAAACGTCGCTTGGGACACTTATTGAAACAATGAGACCGTTTTTTGTATGACATAAAGTCCATTTGATCTATGTTCTAGAGAAGAAGTGATGTGAGGAGGCGGTTGGTGTGAACCGACGGAGATAGTATCACTAATATGAATGACTCTAAAGTGTCCTCTCGGCTCAAAGTGGTGGAAGGTGGCACCCGGCCAGGGGGTTGACCGGCGGTGCTGGAACACAGTACCGCATTATAAGAGCAGAATATTTGGGTTCACATTGAGTCTGAAGTTGTATACCGTGTTCCAAAATGACCTAGCGGTTCCGAACACCGGAAGTAGAGATACCTATATGTATTACAGCTATTTTCACCATCAGAGACATACATTGTTGCTCTACAATCCACACTGTGTCAAATATACTCATATCAAATGATGTAGATCATTCACTAGAGATAGATTAATCAGATTCCCCGCCCAATAGATTGTCGGCTATCTCATCCTCTGAGCCTTCGCTAGCTTCACTGAGAACGGAATCATCTGGAGGGACGCTATTCCCGTCGGTCAATAGGTCTTCCGCATCCCCATCTAGCTCCTTGGAGACTGCGCGGCTGTACTTTCTTGAGCCTTTCGCATTCGATTTTGAACCGCGTCCTCTTGGTGTAGGCGATTGCCGTGCATCACGATCACTCCTCAACGATATAGAGGAAGAATTACTGGGTCG